AGAAGCATTCCAGTTGCTTCCATAACAAATAATCCTCAGCACCCCTTGGGTGTATGCCAGGAGTGTGCATGTGCGCGCGTGTGTCTGCATGTGCGTGTGTGTTCTGTGGGAGTTGTGTGTCCGGGTGGGCCTATGATGTGGATGTAGAGTCTGGTGTCAGTGGCAGGCATCTTCCCCAGCTGACTTCCACCTTTTAACAAATATTAATTTTATGTATTTGTGAATTGCTTGCCTGAGCCTACGGGAACCAGGTTCGTGTGGAGGCTGGAGGGGTGGAGCCTCTGGAACTGTGCTCTCAGGTGGTTGTGAGCCGCCATGTTGTCAGGGAACCAAAGCCCTGTGATGGCCATCCCGCCAGCCCTCCCACCTTGTTTTTTGAATCAGGGTCACTCCCTGACCCTGAAGCTTGGAAATTTGGCTAGACTGGCTGGCCAGCCAGCTCCACCTCTGTGGTGTGGGGTGGCGGACATGTGTCGGCGAACATGGGCTCGGGCGAGCCAAACACAGGCGCCCACCCGTGTCAGCTCTGCTGTCAGCGCACTCTACAGCCTGGTTCCTCACTGCCCCCTCGTCCCCTCTGGAACCCACGGTTCAGCAAATGGTTTCTAGAACTTCTCCCCTGGCCTTCCCAGGCAGGTGCCACCTCAGTGGAAGCTGTAGCAGGTGCAATGTGGCCTAGCTTGAGCCACAAACAAACAGTCTCATGACAGAGACAAAGAGGCCACAACACGGAGTGCCAGGGTCTGAAGGAAGAGGGGAATTTTGAACTACCGGAAAAGCAAGGAAGCTTACTCCAAGCATCTGGGCAAGGGTGGGAGGGTAGTCTTGCACCGAGGGGAAAATAAGAAAGGAGTCCAGAAGAGGTGGGGGCGCTGAGGATGAAGGGCACCTTGGGTAGATTCCCTGGGGTGGGGTGGTAGTGGTGCTTAGCTCTTTGGTGTCTGAAGTCTCTAGGTCCCTAGCTTCTCACGGTTCTACTGGAATCCAGACATTGCGCGCTTCGAGGGGCTGTTTACCTCTGTAGAAGCAGGGCTCGCAGAGTCAATTTCGAGAACTAGGCTGCCAGCGATGGACAGGGGTGCCTCAGGATTTAGAGTTTACTTCCTGAAGTCCAGGGACCGCCGTCACAGACTCACAGACCGAGCCCGTCACAGACTCACAGACACACTGCAGGAAACTGTGGCTGTTTAGCCCCCTAGCTCCAACCTAACGTGACACCGATCAGGTGGGTGTCAGATGGGGTGCAAGGGAAGAAGCTCCTTCCCAACCAGGCCCGGCGAACAGAATCTAATCGCTCTTGAAAGCACCAGCAACCCACGGAGTTTGCTGGAGAAGGAAAGAAGGAGGGAGAGAGGGAAGATGGAAGGGAGAGAGGGAGGGAGAAAACAAAGTAAACAGTAAAACAAAATCCCTTGAAGAAGAACAGGGCTGTGGGCCCTGCGGACCTTCACCCAGCGAGAGACACAGTTTTCTATCTGAGCGCAGGTTGTGGAATTCCTGCGAGGGGGCTTCTGAGCAAGAGGGAAAACAGCCCCATTCAGGCTGGGTAAACAGTGAGGCTGGCCTGTTAGCCGGTGTGCTGGGCCCCGGGGAAGCCCAGTGAGGGGGCTATGTGCCCAGGGGTGCCGTCACTGAGAAAACAAGGAGGGACATCCAAGCGGAGAGTTGTGGCTGTGGGAGGCCCCACGCCCCTAGCCAGTCCCGTTTAGAGGAAGGCAGGACGCTTTGCATTCAGCAAGTCAGTGCTGCTGTCAGACTGGGGGGGGGGGGGGCAATGCGCATTCCGCCCATTTACGTTCAGAAAGAGCCTTAATGACGTCAGGAGTCAGGAAGCAAGGTGTCAACCATGAAAATAGAAATAAGAACGTGGGCCGGCCCAGAAATGCTTCCCAGACTGGCGCTGTAGACAGGGCCCTTCCCACTCCTCACAGCCTCGAAGACCCTTGCAGAGCCAGGGAAACCAGGTTGTAAATCACAGCCCGAGACCGACACTGTTTCATCCTAAAAGGCTGATTCCGTGGCCGGTTACGGAATAGAGAGTACAAATGTTCACCTCAAAGCTGCCACCCCCAAAGGGCCCTGAAGACGCTGAAGGCTGGGGAGATGGCCCGGGGGTGAGCTGCCCTCTGACACCCACATAAAAGGTCTGTCATCTATTATCATGGTCCAGTGTCAGTAAGAGACCCTGCCACACACACACAGAGGTGTCTCTCTCTCACACACACAGGACACACACATAAATGGGACACCCACCCACCACACACACCCACACACAGAAGCCTTCGTCCCAGACCACAGAGATACAGACACTACAGTCGCTCCCAGGCCACCTTAGGGCAACAGAGAAATTCAGGCCCAGTCACCGTTGGGTTTAAGTGACGTGGTCCTTTCCAGAGTGGTCTGGCAAGCTTTGATCCCCACGGTAGTGGTACTGAAGTGGGGTGCAGGCTTTACGAGGTTTTTGCTGGGGTTTGGGCAATAAGCCTTGCCAAGCCACCGTCTGTGCAGGAGACAAGCCAGCCCCCGCCAGGATCTGGGCTGTGAACCTGAAACGGCAGCTGCCGGGTTGCGGCCTCCAGACCTCAGACTGCCGGGGCTTCAAGATTACTAGAGCCTCTCAGCTGCCCCCCCTACCTGTCCCTACCCCACCCCCCATCCTCAAGGTGCCATTCCTTCCCGCCGAGACCCAGGAATCAGGGACAGCCTGGCTGCAGGACATGGGACCCACCCTGCCTCCAGACCTAGAAGGGACCACCTCCCACATGGGGCGGGGGGCGTCCTTTTCTCAGAGGCCCCGCCGTGCTGTCTGTCTGTCCATGGAGTCGATAACTCCTCATCCAAAAAGACAGTCCTCTTCGGTGGCTCCCTTGAACTCTTAACCCCCAACACTGCAGCGACCCGGCCTGCCGCTGCGGGTGGTGAATTCCTTGCATTCTGTCTCCTCAGAGGGCGCCCACCAGAGCTCGGCCTGTCCGGCTCACGGCCTCCAGAACCGTGAGAACCTTCTGCTCTAGAACTCACTCCTGGGAATCTGTCATAGTAACCACAGCAAGACCATGAAAGATGAGAATCAGCGGCCTGAGAGGCCACCTGGCCTCGGCCAGCCATAGGGTTCATGGGAAAATCAAACACAAGGTCAAGGTTTCCAGGGCAAAGAAACTTCGGGCAGCAGCCTCTGACGCTGTCTCGGTCCCTGTCAGACAACGAGTCAGTAAAGAGACCTTCGCGCTGCAGAGCTGTTTAGGGACGAAAGACAAAGATAGACTGACAGGGCGGCCGCTGTGTAAACAGGGGCGAGATCCCTTAGGAAGCCCACACTGCGGAGGAGGCCGAGCGAGCGAGCGCCGAGGAGGAGGACCCGAGGGTGAGCAGGGAAGGGCTGGGAGCTGCGCACAGGGTGCACCGCGCCCTCAGGCTAAACCTGCCGGGAGCCCGAGTCACAGTGGATCGAGCCCCGGCAGAGAAGCCGCAATGTCCACCCGCTTCGGGGGTTCCTGGAGGGAGGGTGTCAGGAGGGCACTGAGATGGATGACCGGGAAGAAGGAATTCATTAGTTACTAGTGACACAGACGGACAGAGAGGCAGCAGCGTAGGACAAGGCAGGGCCGGGACTCACGTCCTCAGAGGCTTGAGGGGGCTCTCAGCTGGCGTCTGCAGCCAGGCTCTGGAGCCCAGGCGGCGGCCGAAGAGGGGAGAGCCAGCTGCGCAGTAACTCACTTCCCATGGGAGAGATCCTGGATGTCAGCAGTCAGTCAGGTGTGTGTGTGCATGTGTGCGTGTGTGTGCATGCGTGCGTGTGTGTGTGTGCATTCGTGCGTGTGTGTGCGTGTGTGCGTGTGCGTGCGTGTGCGTGCGTGCGTGTGTGTGCATGTGTGCGTGTGTGTGTGTGTGCATGTGTGCGTGTGTGTGCATGTGTGCGTGTGTGTATGTGTGCGTGCATGTGTGCGTGTGTGCGTGTGTGTACTTGCATGATGTGTTCAGTGCACACACACCCTAGCATGGGTCAGAAGGTCAGAGGTCAGCGCTGTGGCGTAGGCTCTGGAGGTCGCACCCAGGTGACTGGGCTCCTGCTGCAAGCACCTTAGCCATCTCGTCAGCTCCACCTTCCTGAGTGAGGCGGGCCTCCTGCTGAACCTGAGGTTTGCCGCTGTGACATCTGGCTGGCACTGAGCCCCAGGCACCCACCTGTCTGGGGTTGTGATCCTGGTGCTGGGATTACAGGTGCCTGTTAGCATGGCCAGCTTCTTTGTGGGCTCTAGGGATTTGAACTTACGTCCTCACATCTGTGCCCCAGTACACACACACACACACACACACACACACACACACACACACACACACTGTGTATATATATACATATATAATGTGTATATAAATATAATGTATATATACATATATAATGTGTATATATATGTGTGTGTGTATATATATATATTTTTTTTTTGAAGGGCCAAGAACAGTCAGAGACACGCACATGAGGTGCAGGAAGACGAGCACAGAGCCAGGCATACAGAATGGACAGGCAATGCGAGCCCCAGACACTGAGGAGTTTCCTCTCTAACAGAAATGGCTTCTGAGAACAGGGAGGAGAGAAGACGTCTCCATAAGCGGCTCTCAGCCAAGAGATCATGGGAGCAGGAGACTCACCCCACAAGAGAACCAGCCCACCCCGGTAGAGGGCACATCAAAGCGAAACAGGCGAACGATGGCACGGCTACCAGACTGCACAGAAGATTTTCACAACCTCCAGGCCAGGGGTGATTTCTTAGCTAGGACCCCAGGGCGATTCCACAAAATTCACATTTCACTGCAGTTACGACCCTACAAACAACTCTGTCCAGGCTCGCGTGCACCCTTGTAAATCGCTAAGATGGACAGATGACCAGCAGAAAGATGGCAGAGGCTTGCCAGGCACGCTGCCATGGAGACGCTGAAATGCAGTAAACGTGAGGGGCCCAAGACCTTTAGTCACCGGAAATGTGAACCAGGACCTTTGTTACCTGTCTGTGTCCATCTCCCCGGCTGGGGAAGACACCAATGGTGGCGGGCGAGTGAGTGAGCGGCCCTCACTGCCGTTAGGAGTGCTGATGAGCCCAGCCACAAACTGCCACTCCTCGGCGGGCGGGAATGCCTCTCCTGTGTACGTGTGCAGGGTTGTGCAGGAACGCCGCGTCCAGTGAGCCTACAGAACAGATGAATATCTGCAAATATCCCAAGGCATGCTCCTGAGTGCAGTGTGTTTGGTACGGAAAATGAACTTGAGCAGAGTGCAGTGTGGGCGTGGATGACCTTCAAAATCAAAACAGTGGATCTCTGACACTGGCCGGGGCCCCTCTCCGACCCTGCACCCAGTAAAGCTCTCCTGAAGCTGAGGGGCAGGAGCATGCAGCTGGCTGGGCGCTTCTGTCCCTAGAACCAGAGTCGCCAGGGTGTGAGGGAGGAGAGGAGGGAGGGAGGGAGGGAAGAAGGGAAAGACAGACAGAGAGAGAGAGAGAGAGAGTCCCTGGTCTGAGAAAACCCCAAGCAGCTCCTGGCTTTGCAGGAAGAAAGTTAGTCCAACAAAGCCGAGATAGGTTTTTTTCAGCCTAAGAGCCTCCTGCAAGCCGCAGCTGCCCCGCAAAGGTGGGGCTCTGGCGCCACCCTGTGGACACTTGGGATGTCTGTTCCCACCGCCAGGCTCCTCTTGCTCGTACTAACGCGGCAGGCCAGGCCTCACCCACAGGAGTGCAGCCACTCGGAGTGACACACACACACTGTTGGAGTGCGGGAGCTCCTGGTCGCGTGCAGGCTCCTAGGAGCTCTGCAAGCTTCTGGGGTTTGAGACTGCTAGCCTGGTCTCCTGGCGCGTCCTAGGCAGGCACACTGCCTGGCTCCCAAGTGGGGTCCCCGGGTGTCCCTGTGACCTATGGCCTGGCTGACAGTCCTTCTCACACTGAGGCGGGGAGGAATCACGCCGCGTAATTCAGCCCTGATCTCCTGCCTAAACTCATTGTGGAGACAGGAAAGATTTATCCACACAAAGAAACAAAACTAAAAACAAACAAAAATCACCTGGCTCTCTTCTGTTCCCAGAAGGGTAAAAAAAGGGAGGGGAGCATCTAGATTTGGAGGGTTGAAGAAGGGCAAAGGAATTCCTAAAATTCCTTCTTTTCCCAACAAGGTCTAGAGTTAAGCCCTTTCTTTTTCGGGGAAAACCCTGCGGTGACTACCAGGAACTGGATGCCAACTTTGTCTTCTGTGCAATCCTTTGTCTCCTCAGGCACCTGGTCCACTCCCACCCCACCCCCACCCCTCCACCCCTGTTTCCACTCCCGGACCAGGTCCCAGCCCCCTGCCATTGAAACTGACCATGTCTCCAGGTCCTGCTCACTGGGTGTGAAAAGGGCCCCATTCAAAAAGTAGAGTCTCCAGGAAACTTCAGGGGTCGGTCTCCCACAGCCAGGGAAAGCCCTAGCTCAGCGGGTAGAGTGTTTGCCTAGCAGGCCTGAGCCCTGGGTTCCCTCCCTAGCACTGCATAAACCAGGCGTGAGGGAGTACACCCTCAATCCCAGCACTCAGGAAGCGGAGGCAGGAAGATCAGGGGTTCAAGGTCACCCTTAGTTACACGGTGAGTTCCAGACCAGCCCACAACATGTGACTGTGTCTCAAACAAGTTTCCAAGGCTAGGGTAACAGCACACACCCAGTCCCTAGACTTAAGAACCAGAGGCAGGAGGATTGCCATGAGTTTGAGGTCAGCCCGAGATACACAGTGATAAGTAATATTTCAAATAAAAATATTTGTGTGTGGAGTGATGTCTCAACTTTTGAGAGTCTCCTGGGGAAGGGGAGCCTCAGCGGAAGAGCTACCCACAGGTGGCCTGTGGGGCCTTTTGACTCTTTGAGACAGAGTTTCTCTGTGAAGTCCTGGCTGGTCTGGAACTCACTGTGCCGACCAGGCTGGCCTCGAACTCACAGAGCTGGGTCAGGCTCTGCCTCCCAAGCGCTGGGATGATGGTGTGCGCAGGGCTCCCTGGTATGATTGCTGGCTGATGTGGCCCACTGGGAGTGATACCATCCCTGGGCAGGTGGGCCCGGGAGGTTCGAGGAGGCTGTGGGACAAGCTCGGGGAAAGTCAACAGTCTTCCTCCATGCCTCTGCTTCGGGCCTTGGCCTCCCTCCACGTGGGCAGCCACGTGTAAGCCGAGGAAATCTTCTAAGCTGTGTTTGTCACTGTGCTTCTCACAGCGACAGATGAGCAAGTGAGGGTGCGTTCCTGTTTATCCCTCCTGTCCCTCTGCCCTCACAGCTGTCTCCTCCCACTGAGGCCATGCTTCGGTGTCCTGCCTGCTGTCCGCACCTGCCCCACTCCCTTCCGATGTCACCATCAGCCCAACCCAAACCTCCCTCCCTCAGTCCCGTGCTCCGACCTGCTTTCCCATCAACTGGAATTGATATGACAGTTAATATTGGTTGCCAACCTTGTGGCATCTGGACTCCCCTGAGAGGCCAGGGCACTCTGTGGGGGACACCTGGCTGGGCCATTAAGTGGGGAAGGGCCACCCCGAGTGTGGGCTGCACTGTCCTGTGGACTAGGGGCCTAGACTGCATGAAGAGCCTTCATCCCTCTCTGGTTGTGGATGCGGTGTGGGTGGGTGTGCTGTGAGCGGGGCTGGTGTGAGCAGGTGTGCTGTGAGCAGGTGTGCTGTGAGCGGG